TCTCTCTCTCTCTCTCCATCGCTAAATTATGAAACAGTTGTTCTCAAAATCTACAAACTGTTTATTAATTATATCGGATTTAATAGAAAACCATTAATGTAGTGCATAAAAGATTGAGGAGAGAGAGAGAGAGAGAGAGAGAGAGAGAGAGAAAGGCATAGAAGATAATTGATGTGGATGGTAACCTTGGCATAACAGGCTGATATGAGCACAAACGCGAGCCCATTAATCGTCAACAGGGCTATCAAATAGGCCACATCTCCTCCCTGTTTGTTCTCCATTGGCAAACAGATGGATGTCTTGGAGTAAGTGCTGATCCCCAACAATGGCAACGATGCCATCAGCAGTGCGTAACACCAGCCGCCGAACATCACCTTCACAGCTAATCCCAGTTTAAGACGTTTGTTCAGTTGTATGGCGAATGTGATGGCAAACCATCGCTCCAGTGTTATAACGGTTAGCGTAAAAATGGACAGTTCGCTCGCGAACACCGTTATGAAACCCGCGATCTTACACCCGATCCCTGTGTTATCAATCATATAAGACATACCATTTTAATCAATAGATTTATGGCTGTAATCCACGGATCAATGGATTTATTATATTCATTAAGGATTAATTAATTGTTGGAGTGTTTTGTAGGTTAATCTGTGTTGAGAAATAACCTAGATTATAGCTAAATACTCAATTTATAGTCTTGTAGTACAGAATATTAAAATTAATTTACTTTTAAAATAACCTAAATATTCTTAATATTGCCATGTGCATAATTCAATTTTTGCATGATTATTTAAAAATATTTTAACCAAAATAATTTACAATAATCAATTATATGCTCATTGCAACAAACAATAAGATTTGCAAAATTCCTAATGCCATATTAAATACATGCAGTATTAATAGTACAAATACTATAATTTTAAGTGAAATAGTACAGGTCCGTAAAAATAACTTAATACTGTACAGTACTAACCATAGTACAATTTTATTAATTAACAATATTGGTAAGCTAGTATTTCAAAAACGCTATATCAAATTAACTATTAAAAAGCTTTTTGATTACATAAATAACCCAACAGCTAGTATATAGAGTATGTACTAATCACAGTATAATTTAATTTACCAGTAAATATAAACTTACACAATTAAGATCTACCTGTGCTATTAGGACAGTACAACATACTATTTTTACAATTAGTCAGTAAATCTATCTCTCAAGTAGCCATAAAAACAAACAACTATTTATTGTATGTGTTTATAGCAAACTATAGACTGTTTTTTGTTATTTAATTTTCTTTATAAAAAGTACTAACAAACAGATTGTTGAAATGTTTTGCTTTTTTACATTACAATGTACAGAATAAAATATAAGATTATATACAATGTATTATATTAGATTATTTTTATGAATCAATCGCACAAATATTTTATAACTTATTATCTATTTATAAGATATATACCTATTTTAAGAATTCCCAGAATATTCTATTATTTGTTGTAATATTCTGTGTATGTGTTTTAATAAAATGTGATTTCAGCTATTTAGTTCTATTTAACATAATAAGACAAGTGACAAACATGTGTAGCTAGGTGATGTAGGTTTATATAATAATTGGCAATACATACCATGTTGCCAATCAATGGCATAATTGAAATACTCGCCAACAGTATGCACATCAACTATTGCTATAATGAGCAGATAAATGCCTGCGAAACGAAATAAGTAACAGAATATTCTGTCAGATTATTCTCATTAAATGTCTACACATGTTGTGCAGCGTTTTGTCTACTAACCCATCATGAGGTCGGCAATCGCCAGATTGATCATAAGAAATTTGCTCACATTAAAACCAAAACGACCACTATATTAGGCGAGACGGGGTAGTAGTGGGTGTGTAGGGGTAGGTGTGTAGGAATGGGCGAATGAAAATAAGATTTGGTCGATTAAGTTTTATGTTAAAATACATTATCATTTATTGCTATAAAATTTGAATATATTCAACATTTATAAACATAAATANAGTTTTATGTTAAAATACATTATCATTTATTGCTATAAAATTTGAATATATTCAACATTTATAAACATAAATACATAAAATATATACTTATTTAAGACTCTTGAGTAACTTTATTATACATGCTTTATATTGAACGAGTCAAGCATATAGTGTTTGGGGACTAAATTAATGTCAGAAAGTATATCGTAAAAATTTCCGGTTTTATGAGCCAATAGTCTATATTCTAGAGAACGGTGTGATAATCACATGCAAACCGAAGGCTTAAGGGTTTGCACCGTTAACTTCAAGTTTAACCAAATACTGATGCATCTCTCTCTCTCTCACTCACTCACTCACTCACTCACTCACTCACTCACTCACTCACTCACTCACTAATCTATTTCACAGAATCAATAAATTACACGAGAATTTGCTTATAAATGAAGACAGACATGAATATAGTAGACATAAAGTTATATAATAATAAGAGCAAAGAGTAAACACACATACCGTATGTAGCGCTCAAATAGTGTATTACTATTCGGCTTTTTGTGCTACAATTTATTACACATTGAAATCATTTTTTAAAACCTTTCAAATGGGGGCCTACAGTGTCTCTGGGGGTCAGGGCTTTCGGTAAAATCAAATTCACTTCATTTCATTGATTCTCTCTCTCTCTCTCTCTCTCTCTCTCTCTCTCTCT